AGTATTTGAGACCCAAACCCGAACATTAACCGATCTAGAGACTACCCGAACTGAACCCGACCTGAACCAAATTGACCCAAACCCGTTTTGACCCGTTAAAACCCGAATTCAACCCGACATGTTCCTAACCCGACCTGAATTCAACCCGACCTGCTACACCCCTGACCCGAATTTCAACCCAACCTGTTACAAACCCGACCCGAATCAACCCGACCCAAATTCAACGCGACTTGTTATTGAGTCAATAAGTATAAGTCGTTATCTCATGTTGGTATTGGAACGGATATTAAATCCTAACTCTATTCCTTCAATATTTCACTTTGAATTTTAAGAGGTTAGTTTCACATCATGTTTTTAGGGATGAATTTCAGGGACGAAACAAGTTTTTCGCAAATTATTGACTTGAACCGAATCCGAGAATGACCCAACCTAGCTTGAAAATGACCCGACTTGATTATAACCCGCAAATTATTGACTTGAACCGAACCCGACTAGAACCCGTGAATGACCCGACCTGATTTTAACCAGTAAATAATTGACTTGAATAGAACCTAACTCGAACTCGAGAACGACACTTACTCGTTTAAACCCGTAAAGACCCGAATTTAACCCGACATATTTTTCACTCGATTCGAATGTAACCTGACCTTTTCCTAACCTGACCTAAACCCGACAAGATGTATGACCCGACGTGATCCGACTCAAGCATGACCCAACCCGAACCTGACCCACTTATGTTATGACATTAACCCGTATTGACCCGACTCGAGATGACCCGATTCACACTAACCCGAGTCAAACCCGACTTGTTTACCAGAATTGAAAACTCTAATTATAAGTAGCCCTATATGTGTGCAAGGCAACATTTTCCACGCAACTGTTGCACACTATTGCTTTGATTTTTTCCATGCAATTGCATTTAGTTGTAATCTAGCTTTTTTGTTTTGCAAAATTTTCTATAAAAATTCATCATTGTGTGGGTTAATTTTATTTTACTTGATTAATATTTGACTAGTTTTGTGCCTCGTGCGATGCTCGGGTTATTTATTAAATATTAAAATAATTTTTTAATCTTTGTAAACTTTTAAAATATATGATTGATACAAAATTAGTTACCAATTAATGTGCTTTTGTAACGCTTGCTATTTAGTAGGCATGTAATGACTAATAATAATATTGGTGAAAATATTCGATTAAATACATAAAAAAAATAGCAAAAAATAAATTAAATAAAAAAATGTTCAAAGCCTGTTGGGTTGACCCGAATCCATAAATTTGGGCAAAGGTTGAACATTTTTTGGTTCGTATCCTGAAATGACCCGATCCGAGATGATTCATGACTCAACCCCTAACTGAGAGGTCTACATAGTAATAAAATTATACTAGATTGTGAAGTATATTATTTTAACCAATTAGTATAAATTATAAATGGATGTTTCATGTTTTGAACTACTTCCTTCGCTCCAAAAAATATTATTATATAGAAAAAAAAATTATATGACAATTTCTTAGAATTATAATCTAAACTTTTTTTTAAGTAAAACTATAATTCAATTTGTACGTGTGAAATATTGGTATTTTATCGAAATTTAAACTTTAAACTAAAATTTTTAGGAAAAATTAGAAAAAAAATCCCAACTTTCATCAATTTTAGTAGAATAATCCCAACTTTGGATTATTCTGGAATAATCCGAACTTTGGGGGGTTTCTTTTTCTTCAATCCCAAACTGGTCAACAAAAGTCAATGACCTATTATAACAAGTTATGTGACACGTGTCAATCTACAATTAGTCCAAAAAAAAGAAAAAAAAATAGTTAATGCTTTTTATAAAATAAAAAAAAAACCAGACAACACATCTATCCTCTAACTGACCACACCGCAACCCCCACAACCACCACAACCTGCCAGGGGCTGCCACCGTCGACCGCCCCTACCCCTCCCTACCCTACCCCAACAGTGCGCCGCTTCCCCCCTAAACCCCCTGTGCCGGTGTTGCGACCCACCTCCATCACCAAATTCCTCCTTTTCCAATTAGATTTTCCGCCAAACCACCACCCCCCTCCCCGAAACTTGCACGCCACCAGCCCCACTTTTGAAAACCCCTAAAACTACCGGCCCCACTTTTGAAAACTCTAAAAACCACCAGCCCCGCTTCGAAAACTCAAAAAACCACCAGCCCCACTTTTGAAAACCCTAAAAACCACCAGCCGCTACGGTTTCGGGGTAAGTGGAGTGGTGGTTGGAAGTTTTCAAAATGGAGGATCAATGGTTTGTATAGGTGGTCTGGAGGCTTTGCCGTTTCGGGGAGGGGGACTGTGGCTTATGGGAAGCGGCGACTCTAGTGGTGGGGGAAGGACGACGGTCTGGCAAGGGAGGTGGATGGGCTACGTAGGTTGCCGGAGTTGTTAAGGTGGTTGGGGTTTTGGATGGAAGTTTGTTTTTTTAATTTTGTTTTTTTATATTTTTTTAACCAATTAAAGCGTGACACATGTCACTTTTTTTTAAAAAAATAAACTCATTCAACCGGTAACCGGTATTTGGGATTGAAGAAAAAGAAGACCCCCAAAGTTCGAATTATTACAGATAAATGAAAGTTGGGATTATTCCACCAAAATTGATAAAAGTTAAGATTATTTTTTTCTTATTTTTCTTAAATTTTATCCGAAATTTTTTTCCAAATTTGATTGAAAATATAATTATAAAAAACTATATTTTTTTATCCTATGAAGTCTATCTAAATTTATCAAACGTGGCGCGACACTTGGCGAAAAATTGAAACACAAGTGTCATTGTCTCGTGGTCTGAATAAAAGTTTAAATTTATATATTAGTTATATATATAATTTATCCTACTTTTATTTTAAATAATGTAAAATACAGTAACTTTAGTTATATTGTGGTAAAATTTAGGAAACACGCATTATTAATTTAGAATATTGTTTTTTTTAATTCATTTTTTAACCTTTCATTGCCAATTTGGGTATTTCAAAACAATCAAAAGTTTTACAGTGACTCTTTACTCCCCTCCTTCCTTATCTTATTTAATAACGATGTGTATGAAGTTATCAGACTTATCACAATCCCATTGTGTTTACAGTCAAATGTACCCAAAATTGAAAAATCAAGCCTATTGAAAATATTATAAAAGTATAAATTATTAAAGCAGGGTCGTTTCTGAGATTTCGGAGGCCCTTGAGCGTTCTAATATATCGGGGCCCTAAATTTAATTTTTTTGATTTTGTAATATAGAAAATCATTCTTTTTATCATATGGCATGGACAAATAACTTGATTATATCTTACGTGAAAAATTTAACAAAAAAATCAAACAGCATACAATGTAAAATTAATACATATATTAAACGATCATTAGTAAAAAAAAAAAAAAAAAAAAAAAACTACTACTCCGTACTTAATATAGATCTTTTTAAAAATTACTAATAAAGGACAATAACAATAACTCTATGTAGTCAATCCTAATCCTAATCCTAATCCTAAACCCTTTAAAAAGTGGGAAGTACTATTGTAGCTTATCTAGGGGTGTACATAAACAGGACCAGACCTGAAAACCGACCTGACCCGGACCTGTTTGGACCGGACCTGACCCGGACCTGTAGATTCAGGTCCGGTCCCGGTCCCGGTCCGGATCAGGTCCAAACCCGGGGTTTTCAGGTCTGGACCTGAAACCCAGTAAAAATGCCTTTTTTATTAAAAAAAAAATCCAAATTTCAAAACAAGTCTGTTCATTTTTGTAACCCACTAACCCTAACTCACTCCTCACTCACGCACTCTCTCTCTCAGCCGACACCGACACCACACCAACACTCACTCCCTCACGCAGCAGATTTGCACAGACACCAGTCGCCACCGCCCAGACACCAGTCGCCACCGCCCACCAGACCAGCAGCACGGAAACCTCTACACGCTGCATCAGCCAAACTACCATCTTCGTCCACCTGCACGAACTCCTTCACGGTGGGATTTGTAAGTTCTTTTTTTTTTTAATTAAATCGAATTATATTTGAATTGGATATTTTTTAATTTGAAACGTTGAATTAAATGTGAGGCATTCATATGTTTATTCATGTTTCAATTGCTAATAATGATTGTTTGATGTTTTCATGTTGAAATTCTGTTTTTTAGTTCATTTTTTTCGAATTCATGTTTTTTTTTGAGTTTTTTTATTTATTTAAAGTAACTGTTTTTGAATTTTTTTAGTTCAATTGTTTCGAATTCATGTTGAATTTTGGTTTCTTTCGATTTGTGAGTTTAAAATCTGTTTATATTGTGAATTTGCTGGGAGTAGATTGATAAATCAGGGATAGGCTACTCTACTTGTTGTATAACTTATGGAACAGTTTAAAATCTGTTTATATTTTCAGAATATATGCAATGTAGTATTCTGTGAATTTTTGTAAATTTGTTGGACAGTGTACTAATCAGATGGTGTATTGCACGGTTTGTACCACATGCTAGTGTATTGTATATTTTGTATGTATTCTGTTAATTTTGTGAATTCAATTTGAATTGTAATTAAATTCTATCATTTTATATTGTTTAGGATCAACAAGAACCACGGATTATACTCATTAGTGTGAATCACGCAATCAAAAGGAAAACAACTCGCCAAAATTCAAGTTGTCTTTAGATAATTAATGTATTTATAGTATTTGAGACTTAGAGACTTCATGTAATTTAATGAATTATTTGTTATATTTGAGACTTAGAGATTTTATGTAGTTTTTGTTATTGATATTTTTAGGTTTTATGTAAACAGGTCCATAAACAGGTCCAACAGGTTATTTATTTTCTTTTTTTAAAAAAAACACACAAAACAGGTTTGTTCAGGTCTGGACCTGACCCGGACCTGCTGAATCAGGTCCGGTCCCCGGTCCTCAAAATTGGCTGATTCAGGTCCCGGTCCTAACAGGTCCGGTCCAGGTCCGATCCGGTTTTGGACCGGTGTACAACCCTAAGCTTATCTTTAGTGCTCTGCCCAAACTGCCCCTAGCCACAAAATTACATTGGTGTGTGAGCTGTTGGCCTGATGTCTACCCATGTTCTTCTTTCTCCTGATTTTCCTCACTCCCTTTCATTTTTTCCCTGTTATTTTCTCTTTTTCTCTGAATTCCCATCATCTCAGTTTCACTCTCCTTCTCCTCTTCCTCTCCATCAATTTTAATCTCTTTCTTTTGATTTTATTTTTTTGCAGGCTAATGAGTTTAGGAGTAAGGGAAAGCTATAAGATAAGGTGAATAGCTAATTGATGGTTAGTTGTGCGTGAAAATTGATTGGAAGTTTTCGAGAAATGTCGACCTCTTGATCGATTTGCTTGCTTGAATTCTGGGTATGTCAACTATGATTTTATATACTCCAGTAAAGCGGGTTTAAGGATTAAAATTTGAGTGTTCCACTATTCTAGGTTTGTGAACAGCTTCAAACTGATATGTAGGTAGTTTCAGTTTCATGTTTTCAAGTTACTTAATTAATGTTGTTAGTTCCTAATTATTGTCGATTTTTTTTTTAGATCTGACTGTTCCTGATTATTGATGAGTGTATGTTGTAAATAGAGTGGTGATGGTGGGGTAAATATGGAATGGATGATTTAAGAGAAATATTGGGAATTTCAAGGGTAGATATTTGGGGGATTATAGAAACTGCAATAAAGGTAGCTTCTTTAGATTATGGAGATGAGCTTAGAGTTAGGAGAGATGGTATTGTTGAGAAATTAAACACGTATTGTCATTACTGTGAAGCTGTAGTTTGTAATTTAATAAAAATAATAATGGGTTTGTTACTAATGTTGTAGTTGAGGCTGTTTGTGGGATATATAGGGAGGTGATTCTTAGGAAATTGAATTGGCCGTCCACCCCGGTTCGATCCATGGTTGGGATGATGTTGTTAAGGAGGCTGAGGACGAGGTGAATATAAAGAAGGAGCTGAATCAAGAATTTCCAAGGAGAAGGTTGTTGAGAATGAAGATGAGGATGAGGAGGATGATGCCTTTGCAGCATTCTTTTTGTTAGAAAACAGATTAAAACACTAACCTGGTTGCTTTTATGTGTTTGTTTACATTTACATGCTGCTGTTAGTAATTTTGTATGATTGATTTTGAAGCTCATAGATATCAAAGTATGTGTTTGTTGAATTGATTTAGTCTGAGTAATTATAATTATGAAGCATGTATAATTTTTTTTGTGTTTCTATGTTTTGATGTGAGTGTTGGTGAGAAATTGGGGAAACAACTATTCATACTTTATCGATCAATAACGTAAAGTAGCTTTACATTATATTGACTTGTGAATTTACTGATAATAGTTATCTATGAGCTATAACAAGTGAATTATAAGTGTTGGAAATGATATCAAATTTGCTGAAAAGATTGGAGTTTCTACTATTTTCTTGGATGTGGTTGATGATCTTCGTGCTTTTAAAATTCTCAAATTCCCGAGATGAATATTTCTTCACCAATGTATTAGTTTTGGCTTAGACATAATTTAGCAGGACCTTAACACTTCAAAAATTGTAAACAATTTATTTATGGGAGAGCAATCTATTCATGGGAGAACCTTAACTCTTAAAAAAAATTTCACCACTAAATAATTAGTTCACCCCAATTTTATATACAATTACCTCACTCCTAGGTAAATAACGTAATCACCCCTAAATGGTAAACAATTTTTATACTTTTATAAAAGACTGAGTATATTTTTTTTCTCATTTTGGTTTATTTTTTGTTTCAATTTCGTCGATTTATGTAATAATTTTTGTGGAGGGTTCTAGTTTTTGTTTATAATTGGGTTAATTTTCTAGGAATCGGTTGTTTTATTTAACATTATTGTTGAAATTCCGGTGTAAATTTGTGTTTTTTCAGTGAAAAAGGCTGGTTTTAGTTTGTTTTGGTTACCTAGATTTGGTTGTTGTGTAATGTTTTGTTGATGGTGGTCATTGTAGACATCCACTTTTTGCCTCTTGTCCTGAAAGGAAGTGCGATGATGTTACAAAAATCCGTTCTTCATGTTAGATCAAAGTTGAAGTGTTTATGGACTACGAAAAGCATTATGAAGTTAAAACCCATATTTGAGACCAAGTTATCTTAGAGTCTTGTCTGATTACTAACTAGGCCTAAAACGTATTCGTACATGTTTAAACTTGATTAATAACGGACCCAAATGCGTCAAATGCAATGATTGGATCCAATGGAACCTACATTGTTGAAAACCGAGCCAAACAGATAAACCAACCATAAAATACCCATGCAAGGACTATAAAGAAGGATAGACCTTTCAAAGATCTTTCCAGCGGTTTATGATAAGCCCAATTCCGAGCCAAAACGAAGAAGTTAAGATCAAAACACCAACTCGGGCCCTAAAATCGACACCCTTGCACTCCAACGGCCATAACTTTTGATCCATAACATTTTTAACCTAATTCAAACGGAATTGGAAAGTATACATTCAGATCTTAGCCCTTTCAAAGATCTTTCCAAAGGTATATTATAATTCCAATTCCGAGCCAAAACGAAGAAGTTATGATCAAAACACTAAACCGGGCCCTAAAACCGACACCCTTGCACTCCAATGGCCATAACGTTTGATCCATAACAAATTTTAACCTAATTCTAACGATATAGGAAAGTAGACATTCAGATCTTTCCAATGATATCTCACATCCTTAATCCGACTCTGCAATAAAAAGTTATGAAAGTTGTAAAAACGGGTTTTCATAAAAGGCAAACCGCAAACCAGCGCAACTCAATTTGTTGCGCACGCCTATCGCGCGCGACTCAGAGGTTTCGCGCGTCACCGGACGACACGACTCTAAAACCCCAAACCTAGATCCCTTTGCCTATAAATAGGGGTCTTGGTTCAGCATTACGAGGACCGAAAATTAAGAATTAAAAACCTAGTATTCTCAAAACTCTAATCTCTAAACTTCTCTTACTATCATACTACTTTTCCCTCTTTCTTCCCAACTACTCATTAACCCTAATAAATCCATTGAATCTCTTGAAGGTACGAAGAAGAAAGAAAGTCCATAAACACATTAAACGGAGATTTAACATAAAAGAAGAACTGTTAGTTTCCCGAGCACTTAGAAAAATCACTTTTCCTTTATTGTTTGAATAACTTTAATTAAATAAATAGTGTTTTTTGATCACTTTTATTAATCATGAATAGAATTTGATAATTAATTGTTGTTTTATCACTTAAGACAAGGTGAACATTATTTATTTTGTTCATTTTACGAATATTGATTAAACAAATTATCCCTTGAACTCTACTTGGGAGAAAGGCATGAACGAGGTTTATGAGTTTTCCTAAAACTCATTGGGGACTCCTACTTGTTTCTTACAAAAAAGCGTGATGAGAGTATCATTTCTAATTCAAGGTCTCCCAAACAGTCAGGAATTCAAATCTTAATACACCCTAACAAGTGTAAAGTCCTAGGCTTTTAAATGGCCATGGACATCTAAGAAAGGACCCCCTGCGATGGAATCACTCTCCTTACAGTGGCAACTCCACTGGGGACTTAGAGGTTACAAGATTAGTTCGTAGTTATGGTTTAAGGTTTACGACACTAGGTTGCCTATGGATTGTAACAAGAACTAACTTGGATAATCTCTAGTTAGAGAGCGAGACTCGAATGCATAATATCTTCCATTTTCACAAAAGTAAAATTCAAACAAGCAACATTGCATCATGCATATCATAGCACAGTTTAACCATTGGGGGTTGGCTCATTGACCAGAGGTCGCCAACACTAGGCTTTTTATCCCAAAACCAATAACAATCATCCTACCCATATCGCCAACAAAATGTTTGGAGGGCTATGTCATGAGTTAACACGTTGAGTGATTGATTCGTGCATCGTCCCTTAAGATATGGTACCTTTGGACACCCAGTCTTGACCATAGAATGACATTGTATGCTTTGACGGTTCCTTTTATGTGGTTTTGTGACTACATGAATATGCGCTTCGTGTCTGTTCTAACTAATTCCAACTTTTTACTTAGAGATATAATAAAAAAAATTCGCAAAAACATGGTTTAACAAAAAAAAAATTATCGTTCTTTTCACTTTTTCGAAAAAAAATATATTGTCGAACCTACCTGGTGGCACGCGCAACTGTCAAAGTTGCGCGCACCCTCCTAGCGCAAGTTCAGAAGTTGTGCGCGACACCTCCGCGCAACATTGTGTCTTGCATGCGCCCACTGTTCAACGTTGACTTTGACTCGTTACGAGCAATATTATACAGAGAAAACGATACTACCGCTTCAAGGTTAATCGTTAAGTAGGTGGTAAAAATATTTCTTTGGCTAACAACGTTGTCTAACTTTTACTATGATTGTCTTTTTTCGAAAAACATGTTTTTTTTATCGTTCTTTTTGTGTTTTCGGAAAAAAAAAAACCGCATAAGGTAGATGTTTTCTTGAAGATGCACTTTCCACCTTAGTGCAAGCCGAAAAATTGTGCGCTATACTATTTTTGATTATGATGATTCGTTTACGTACTTTATAATCGAGCTAATGACATAACTTCCTCTGAGGTTTGTCATTAGAAGTTCGCATCTCTTAATAGGACGTCATCAATATGTTTATCCTTAAACGCGCCTATTTTCATGTTCATCATTTTTTTAGTTATAATTGGTCAACCTTGATTTAAGTGTATAACTTATTTACCTCTTCTATGGTTTAAAAAGAAAATCCCAAGAACTTTACTTGGGATGATTTCCTCACACACAAAAAAAAAAAAAAAAAAAAAAAGAGAAATAGAACGAAAAAAAAGAAATGTTGTTCTTACAAAAAAAATTATAAAAAGAGAGTATGATACAAAAAAAATATATATTATGCTTAAAAAAAAGAGAAGATAATGATTGATAAAACTGAGAAAATGATTTAATTATTTCTTGGATTTCACATTCGAAGGCCATCATTCTTTTTAAGAAAATTGTAACGTATTATCCTTTAAAGGTCAGCAATATGAGAATCATAATTGAAAAAAAAAAATGATATAGATCTCTACTACAATCTAAGTGATCAACAAATACCATAGTATATTTGATCCTTTTAAGGAGTGTGTTCGGGTCGAATAATATTTCTAAATATTTGATGGGCATTTCAATCCAACTTTCTTGTCTTTCTCTTCTACCTTCTTCGAAAACAATTCATTAAAAGATAAATCTTTATATGATTACCTTGTTGAAGTCAACACAAATCATGACATTCCATTAATAATTGTTCGTGATTTTTTTGACATTCTTCATCAACAAACTTGCTTAAAGTCAATTCGTATTACAAGGATTAAAAAAAAAGAAATAAAACAATCATTTTGACTTTGGTTCATTGTTTGAATGCTTGGAAGAAAATTTTTAAGTGAACGCGCTCAATTTGTCGTGACACACATTGCTAGATCATCTTCCACATTCGCATAGTAGTCCAATCATGGATGACAAAGCAACATTGAAGAAACTTAGAGAGGAACTCAGAAACCTAAAGGCCCTACGAGAAGAAGATGCCAAAATGAAGGCTCATAAAAAAGTAGAAACGGATAAAATAAAAGCAGAAGAAGAAAAAGAAAAAATTCTACAAGAAAAAGCAAGAGCCTAAAGAGTAGAGGCCTTGGAGAAACTTGTCCTTCGAGCTAACTCAGGGAATAAGTACTTCAATTATGAGCTTGCACCACAACCTAGTGGCAAGACTCTCCTAGAAAAGTTTTTGACTCTGGATTTGCCAACCTTTAAGGTTACAGACAATCCTAGGACTCACTTGATGAGCTTTATTAGAATTATGGCATTGAAAGGGGTTGAGCCAAGCCTATATGCATGTACTTTTCCCTTTCCATTGGACCTAACTGCTAGATCATGGTTTTATAACCTCGATGCAAAACAAACTTCCACTTGGAGTGGCGTTGTAAAAGTGTTTTAACCCAATATGGAGATAACATCGAGCTTACAACTACCTTGTGCGATCTCAAATTGCTTGAGCAAGGGTAAGAAGAAGGATTCATTGTCTTTTTTTCCAGGTGGCGATCAAAGATTGCTCTTATTCCACAAAGACCTCCGGATCACGAACTTGTCCCAAAGTTCATAGACAATATGTCTCCACCATACAAGTGCCATTTACAATACCTTGGTTTAGACACATTT